GACAGACAGACAAGATAGAGAGATGACAGACAGATTAATAGATAGACATACAGACAGATTAATAGACAGACAGACAGACATACATAGACAAGATAGAGATGATAGATAGATATACAGACAGACAGATTAACAGACAGACAGACAAGATAGAGATGATAGATAGATATACAGACAGACAGATTAACAGACAGACAGACAAGATAGAGATGATAGATAGATAGATAGATAGATAGATAGATAGATTCAAAAAAGCAAAGGCATAATAACATTTTTTTTATTTTCTCCATATTCATTTTTAACACACTGATCACATTATGTATGGAAATAAATTAATCAAATATTTCTACATCACCTACAAACTCTAACCTTCGAGGCTGTGTTGTAAGGCTTAAAATGTTATACGTGTAACAGAGAAAAATAGCATAAAACCAATCATCTGTGTATATGAATGATTATTTATTGTGTTAGAACAGATCCGATGTTGCGATACAGATTGGTGGGTCTCCTCCAAAGCATGACCACTGTGCAGATTCATCACTTGGCCGTCTTCTTCTCAATGCTGAGGAACACAATCAGAAGCAGATCGTGTGTTAGTACGCGAGCACACCGCAGTCTAACAGAACCAGACTAGCCTGAGCGCATCTCGAAATGGGCTAGCTGCATATTTACGGTAAACGTGAGATACTATTAGAAATCAGAAGTGTCATACTTGTATTTGATGAGTCTGCTGCCCTGAACGAGCTGAGCCCCTTCATTGGTGAAGTGGCAGGCGAACAGAAGCCAGTTTCTGGGCTGGACCTTGTAGGCGAAGCGCATGAACAGCAGCGAGTAGCAGGTGAGAGCTGGGAAAACAAGAGCGAAAACACCTCCGTTGACCTTTGACCTCACAGTGTCCGTCTGTTGCACAAGCTCTTGTTTGTTTTGCCACGTACCGAAGGTCATTCTGCCGCTGATGATCTCTGGACTCTTCTTCATGTCGCTGATGGCGGCGATGGGCAGGCCCCAGTTTGCCACCGGACCCCAGAAGTGCTGGAATAACATGACACACCACTGCTGTAACCGCCGGGACACAGGCACCATTAGATCTCATTTCACTCGAGAGGAACTTACTGTGCTGAGGTGGAGATCCCACGGGAAGAGCGGATCCATCATGAAAGCAGACCAGCACAGATGAGAGTTACAGCAAGCACTTTCTTAATAACACATGCTAGGCTGTATCAGATCGTCAATATACCATAGCAAGTGTCTGCGTGTTCGAAATGAAAAAAGTTACTGTAACATTTCTACTAACTGTATAATGATTTACTAAATAAGACACTCTTGAGCGTTTTGTGTCCTGACACGAGGAGTCGATAAAGACACACACTGCTGCCGTTACACCAATAAAATGAAAATATGAGCAACAATGTGAAGATGGTTTTATTTCTCTGAGACTTTGACTCGCGTGACATAACAACAATGAGCTGGAAATAAAGCAAAATGCAGCTTCAGGATTGTAATATGTTTATGTGCGCCACAGCTCGAGGGTGAAACAGCGCACTCTGGCGGCGGTACTGCAGCTCGTGTCCTTCAGCCGTTCCTGCGGTTATTATGACACACACACTCTGACTCTCACACACACACACACACACACACACACACTCTGACTCTCACACACACACAC